GTGGCTGTCATGCGACCGGCTATTGCAGTTAATAATACAACAGCTTCTTGCCATTTTTTTGGGCTTCTTTTTATCGCTGTATAACTGATTTCAATTGAAAGCCTGCGTGCGCTAGTACCTCTTGCCACGAGTTCCCAGAATTCTTTGCGGTTTTACCCCTGAGTGACGTCACATTTTCAATCTCTATAGTCAAAATCTCTATCGTTGGCCAAATTTATATCGTTTCTATCGTATATCGTTTATATCGCCCACCCCTAGTAACTACCAGAGTTCCTATACTTAAACTCTCATTATCACTAAAACTCTCGTCTAAACCAAGGGATTTTTTTCTAGTGTAGCAATGAAACAGATGTTAAAGTGATGCAGAATTGGCACATTGCTGAGTATTGACAATTTACTTTCTTTGTACTTTGTAAATTCTAGGGGAATGGAGGGGGAGGAACACAAGCTATAAAATGTGTAGTTGATTTTGCTTTGTCCATGGTGTGTGTAGAGTAGTACTTTCTTCTGTTTAATATCGTAATTGTGGCTACAGAAAACATGGAATTTTTGAGAATGGCTCTAAGAACTAACAGCTGATGTCTAGTGAATCATTTTTCCCCCTTACCCTTTGTTGTAATTTTCACTGCCTTTTTCTCACCCTCCCACTTGTCTCTCCCCATTTTCCAGGTGTCTTTCGGCAATGTACAGACAATGTGTCCCAAGGAGGGTCGGCCCCAAAATACATTCTACAAGCATTGATGCTTCCATGGCTGACGGACTTGTCAGGCATCTGCAAAAGAAGAGACACTCACATTGTGCAATATCTGCTTAAACTTTTTAAGAACTGCTGACCAACCGGCAGGAACTTGAGATTGAACTTTTGGTGTGGTATTGAAGACCCCGACCAGTTCTCAGCCAGAGACCACTGGTGTTGGTGTTCATTTTTATTGACCCATCTTACATTTCTTACTCTTCAGACCCTGTATTGGTACCTTTCAAATTGGAGAAAGGAAGTTGCAGAGTTTTTTGTTTGTTTGTTTTTTGACACTGCTGAGCCATAAGGACAGAAGAGGTAATGGATGATGTTGGCCATGGTGACGTAGTGTAAATGGCTATTCTTCAGCACATCCCGGTGCCAGTATCTACTGCTCGATCTTCCTCTTCCACTCCCCTCTCCTCTTGCTCCTACTTCCCTTATCTGCTGTCCTTCCTTAATCATTACTGCCTCTTGCTGTCCAGTCCTGCCTTTACCCTCCAAACACCATGGTGGGTTCAGGGTTGGGTGTTTGGAAGCTAATGCGAGGTGTCCGCCAGCTAGAGCTCCATCGCCTCATCCTGGCGCTCATCATCTTCTGCTTGCTGTCCATGGCCTTTTTAGCTTACTATGTCTCCAACAGCCCAAAAATCAAGGAGGCCCCTCCTTTACCTTTTAGTGATTGTGGTGGAGGTGGTGGGATTTCACTAGGAGTAAGTACGGGCGATGCAGAAGGAGGGCCAGGTGGCCAGAGGGCACCACTTTTTCTTCCTCCGCGCCAGGGACAACTACACCATGTTAAGGATAATTTGAAGACGGAGCCTGTGGTTCTGGTATTTGTAGAGAGCATCTATTCCCAACTGGGCCAGGAGATTGTAGCCATATTGGAGTCAAGTCGCTTTCACTACCGGACAGAGATTGCTCCTGGTAAAGGTGACATGCCCACATTGACAGAACGTAACCGTGGACGCTATACTTTGATCATCTATGAAAATGTCTTGAAATATGTCAATCTTGATTCGTGGAACCGTGACTTGCTGGACAAGTATTGTGCTGAGTATGGAGTAGGTGTCATTGGCTTTTTCAAAGCGAATGAAAACTCTCCTTTCAGTGCACAGCTCAAAGGCTTTCCTCTCTATCTACACTCGCACTTGGGACTCAGGGACTACCGCATCAACCCCGCTGCTCCTCTACTCTACATCACCAAGCCTAATCAGATGGAGCAGGGCTCCTTACCAGGCGATGACTGGACCATTTTCCAGTCTAACCATTCTACCTATGAACCAGTGCTTCTAGCTAGAACCAAGACCTCAGATACACTGGCGCATTTTGGACCCAGCCCTTTGCGGGCCCTTCATGCCACAGTAATCCAAGACTTGGGGCTCCACGATGGCATTCAAAGAGTTCTTTTTGGAAATAATCTCAACTACTGGCTTCACAAGCTAGTGTTTGTGGATGCTATTGCCTACTTGACAGGAAAGAGACTGTGTTTGTCCTTGGACCGTCACATCCTCGTAGACGTGGACGACATATTTGTTGGCAAGGAGGGAACCCGTATGAAGGTGTCTGATGTGGAGGTGGGTGAGCCTTGTCAGCCGTACATACAGTTGGTTCCTCTGTTTTGTTTTGTGTTTGTTTTTATTTACAGTACCAAAGTTTTTGCAATTTTGCCTTGGTACACCACCAAAGTTGATTTTAAGTCAAACAATCAAGATGTGATTAAAGTGTAGAATATCACCTTCAATTCAAGGGGTTTAACAAATACATTACATTAACTGTTTAGGAATTATATCCATTTTTATGCACAGTATCCCATTTCAGAGGTTTCTAAGTAATTTTATGTATATGGATTATTTTTAATGCTCAGATGAAAATTCTTTGCAGTTTCCTTAGACATCACCAAGTCTCACTGAAGTTAAAACAGAAAGCAGAAAATGAAAAGCCGCGCTATTGGGTACTGATCGGTACCCTGCTCAGACAATGATAGGAACACTCTTGAGGTAGGCATAACTTCCCTAGATTAATTTTGAATCAGTTCTTCTTACCATGAAAAGAATTCCACATCCATGAGTCCCTCTGGGCCCCGGTGCCCAAAATTTCTATTTGTTTGTTTTTTTGTTTTTTGTTACTCAAGGGCGTAGATTTGGCATGGACGGAAGGGACATGTCCCCACCAATAATTTGATCTCTTCGAGTGAAGAAAAACAAACCCGATAGAAAGAAAAAAACAAACAAACAAAAAAACATCTGTCAATGTCTCACTCACCTAGCTGTGCAGAAAGAGTTAAATTACGTCCTCTACTGGAGTCCTACCTCATGTGACAAATATGGCCAATGTGATTGACTGTGCCCTTCAGGGAGCTCTGTTTAGTTTTAGCAGCAGCAAGCCTGCGCTGCGAGGACCTGCAAGAAGGAGGATGGCAGCAAAAAGGAAAGACCTGAATCTAAAAAATATATTTTTCAAAGAAACCTGTAAGTCACTTAAAGTCAAGCTCACTCATAAAATGTGTCCCTCATAATAACATTACAGGCTATGCTAGGCCATACATGCCAACACTTCCGATTTTTCCGGGAGAATCCCGAAAATCTCCCGGAGCCACCATTATCCCCAATTTCTCCCGATTTTCCACCTGGGCAACAAAATTGAAAAACCATATCCCAGATTGGCCCAGCCAATTCCAGTTTCCAACAATGGCTACTACTACTGCAGCTACTTAGTTTTAATATTACTCTTATTAATCTTTCTGGGTCGCAAAATAAACTTTTAACATATTTTCAGGCGAGAATGTAGCTGCGTAAACTTCAAATAACTTAAACATGTTATTGTTTGGCCTTTTTCTGTGTTTTATTTGTTTGTGAGTAAATCGGTTTAGCTGAGATTAAAGTTATTAGATTAGATTAAATAAAATTTTATTAATCCCTTGGGAGGGTTCCTCCGGGGTTTTCACACAGCTAAATAAATGTCAATCAGAAAACTAATTACACAGAAGTGTGAGACGGTCGAGAATCTACGCCAGTGTCCGGTTATATTTTAGACAGCAAGGAGCAGACGGCAGAGGTCACCTAATTCTGACGGCTAGAATATCCAATTTCACAGTCGCTCATTTCTGGTCTACCCGGCTTTCGGAGGACCCGGCCCACTTAGACCGAAAAGGCCGGGTCCTCAGGTGGACGCAGCCTCTGAATTTGGACAATAATAACAGTGACATTTAACTTATTTTATCCAATAAGTAAACACTTTAAAATTCAAGTTTTTTTTGTATATATCAGTCATTTGTTTAATAGTAATTTAACGTTATATAATTCACATATAAAACTATGAATTATAATTTTAAATGGTTTAAAAGCATGTAGAATAGCATATGTAGGCAAGTATATTTCTCCTTTTTTTTTATCAAGAAGTAAAGAGAAAAAGGAAAAAATAAGAAACGGGGCAGGGTTCGGTGGTTGAATCATCCGTCTCCACCAATGCCAAAGCCAAATCTACGCCCTTGTTGTCACTGCACAGAGTCGGCTGTGGAGACTTTACCTTATAGGGTAGGTTTGTTTGTTCATTTCAGTGATGGCCTCTAGGATTTAGAAAAATCAATTTCCCAATTCAAATTTAATTTAATTTGAATAATCTGATATAGATTCTTAAAACGTGAAAATCATTTTTTAAATATAAATGGTTGTTTTCCAGAAATGCCAAAATCTCAGGTAAGAGTACACAAAAGTACTCCAACAGCTGCCTTAAAGAGCAGGTGAATGGACTCCGCAAAAATGTAAACACAAAGTGCGATTGTTTACACTGTCGGGTGCTAAAGTGGACATCTCACAGATTCTGAAACTGCAGGTTTTGTCACTCTCCAACCAGAATTCATTGAACCAGCAGTAAAAGAAGTGTAAAACAACGTTTCATGTTTGAAAAAAAATTTATATAAATTTTCTCTTATTTTGGCTGTTTTGCTTCCAGCGCGGGATTGAGTTGAATCAGGACTTTATGAATCAGAATTGAATCGCTTGTTGAAATCTGGGACAATACGCTGTCCTAATGGCCTCTTTAATTTGCATCAAACTCTATTTGACCTCATGCTGAGCATTCAATTTAAAATATAACTAATATAAGTTCAGCAGTTGGAATAATTTCCAGTTCTTTTATCTGCTTAATTTGCCATGAGATAATAAGGAAACATCTGGCCATGAAACTGTTTTAGTGAATTCTCCAATTAATTTTGAGCATCTGAATATGCGTCTGTGTCTAAAAAGGGTTGTATCTATATTAAAAACATCTTTGCAATACTTTTGTTAAACCCTTTTCAATTAATGTAGCTAAGATCAAAAAATGATTTGCTTGTTAATAGCACTCTGTTTACAGTTTGGTAAAAAGTAGACTTTAGGGATGCACCGATACCACTTTTTTGGAAATGAGTACGAGTACTTGCATTTTAGTACTCGCTGATAGCGAGTACTTGATGAAAACATGATTTAAATTTGCAGGTAACGGCTTTAGTCCTATAATTTAACAAAAAACAAACAAACAAGGGACTAGTTTGGAATTAAGAACATTTATTTAAAATGAAAAGCATGTTGTATGCAACATATTACAGAATAAATAATTAT